AATACAGTAAAATAAAAATGCATTTAGCATTTATTAAAATATATTCCACTGCCTGTCCTAATTTTCTACCCACAGACCCCTATAACCACCGTTTTTGTAGGAAAACATGCAGAGAGTAGGGATTAATGAGTGGGCCTACATAAACTACTGTTGGCCAGGAAATTCTGATAAATATTTTGTGTTGGACGAGATACTTTGCAGTCGGACAAAAGTGAGCTTGTTTTATTTGCTAAGCATAGATTTAGCGGGTAGGAAAAAATGCAGTGGGATCCTCTGTTGAGATGCCCCTTCGGATGCCTTTCTGAAATTAATAATGAAAGTTTTGCGCCCGAAATGTAAAGAACTCCCTTTCCGCTTCATTTTGGATCAGTTCTAGTTGTCCGTTCTCGCTAGGCAGCAAGCGTTTAAATATCAAAGCTTTTTCGGCCGCTTATAAGCGCATAAGGTGAACCAGTGCAGACATAGTCGGCCCTTTCGCGATTACTTCTGTACACGGCTACAAAATTGCGGTTGTGATAAGAAAACATTTTGTTTTCTGATGTGTTTCATAGCAAGGAATTTCAGGTCTCTAGAAACCATAACCTGCTTTTCGTGTGGTTATTCACACTCTTCCTCACCTGATTCACGCGAAAAGGTAAATCCAGTTGCAGGTTTCGGCGATTTTGTTCTGTTGTTCTCCTTTTTTTTGTAATTCTCTATCAGAGAAATACGCGCATCTTCGCAAGTGTTTACATAATAGGGCATTGACGGAACGTAAAGTAGGGTCAATTTCAACTTATTAGTGCGATAAATAACGCTGCCTTTTACGTAATTGGTTAAGGTTCATGTTGTAACGGTAGCCCAGACCGAGATATCACCGCCCAATAACGCCTTGTGTGAGTTCCCAAAGGGAGAACACGATAAGAAATGTGCAACAGCAGAAGTCTTCGCGTGTAGTCCGTACAACGTATTTAGGACAACAAACGCGTGTAACGCGATGTCCATCGAGCCAATTAGCTTCTCCCCTAGCGTAGGCGCCGGCAGAATTGGCTGGTGACTCAGTGACTGAATGTAGCTTGAAATTCAAATTATTGATTGATTGTCTAGCACGATGCGTTCGCTCGCGTGTAGGCCACTTTGGGCGCGGCTACTTGCTGCCTCTATGCTACCCGTTAGGTCTCTCCTAACAGTACACAGCAGCCACGGTAACCCGGACTGACCATTTAGATTTCGTCAATCAATTAATCGCCTCCTGCGTTTTTTTCTCCTTTTTCTTCCTAATTCAGTTTATCATCGCAGGCACTTCCGAAGACTTATTGTTTACCCTTTTTAAATTTGTAACCAGTACCTTAAACTAATGATAATTGGTGACATACTGCTACAACTAATTTAAAGCCTTACGCAAGAACTCCTCTGTCGCATTCATATCAGGAAACGCACGGGAACATGTCCAGCTGGCAGCTCGTTTCTATTCGCATATTGTACATTTGCAGTTAGACAAACGCATTTTCGCCACAGAATGAGGACTTTTTTCTGCCCATGTTTGGCTGACAAGATGTTCCAGACATTATTTATGGACATGGCTATTTTGTTTGTTTTCCGCTATCAGTGCAGTACAGTGCACGAATCCGCTTCCGACAGCACGTCTGGTTTGCATCAAGGGCAAAAAGCGTGCCGCTTCATCCTAGAAGTAGTTTTTTTAAGACCGCGCTGCCCTTTTACGTTCGTTCCAGACTTGCCAATGTTACTTTAGGACGTCTATAATGGCCGTTCCTCAGCTGCTTGCTGGTGTCTGCCTTCCGCCAAGTTTTACTCCTAATTTTGGAGAAGCGGGCTGGCGTTGAAACGGCAAAGGTAGTTTAAGTAGTGCACTTCATATACACCGACCTCCAGCCATCAGTCGTACCAGACCGGTGGTAATAGGGATTTTGGGGATGAGGAAATAGGATAGGCAGTGAAGTAAATTTGTACA